TATATATATATATAAGGCCTACATAGTTGTCGATCAAACTTGTGCAACATCATTCTCATTTTGGAAATACATTTCAATCTCCAGTATCATAATTGCATATTGATGTCTACGGGTAAAGTGTATTTATTCCTGATTTTATCTCCCACATCTATGTTCTTAGTTCTTTTCCATCACCGTTTGAACTAGCGTGACCTTGTGTGTTGCGATAAAATTTGTAGTAGTTCGACAGTTATTGCTCAGAATTCGATCATATCAAAGTAAGACGATGTTTGTGTTCGATCGCAGCAGAGAAGAGTTGCACAGAACCAATCTGGAGGATAGTCCGGGCTGATTAGTCATTTCTCCCCCACGATTTCGTTTGGAAAATGATGTCTCAATTTAAAGTGCAACTGAGGCCACGTGATATAAAGCTGTTATCGAACACCCAACAAAGCATTGCGCGTATTGATTTGACAAACAAATTCAAATCGCGTCGCCCGTCCATTTGGCAATTGGTTTATCTCACTGGCGGCCAACGAGTAATCCAGCATGTGATGAAAGTTGATCTACTAAGCTAGCTTTTCAGTGAACTTTTTACCTGTCAAGAGAAGTAAATATTCATCCGGCCTAACGAGTTGGAAGGGAAGTGAGTATCGAGCGCCTTGTTATTGGTCTTATGCACACATCAATATGGACATAGCAAAATGTTTTGCACTGATAAGGGAGGTTTTTGATAACTGTCATTTATAGGCTGCATTCACGGAAGTCATATTTTTCACTGATGAAGGTTGGTATATCTCGCTCTAGGATGGTGGTAGAAAATGGTTAGACCTAATTAAATATTTTTTTTTTCACATTTTCGCAATTTCTGGAGGGTCAAGTTCAATGTCAAATTCGTTCAATTACTGCGAGGTAGCTGGGATTTTAGTTTAATCGAAAACTTTTCCCTGTATAAAAGCGGATAAGTTAGCTACCTCGACGTTCGTCGTCAGTGATAAGGATGTGCGGTGTATTAGGGGAAAATTGCCAATTCTGTTTGGCAAACTTGGTGGACTCCATGCTGAAGCGACTGTCTCCAATGCTTAAAATTGAAGAAGGGCAAATGGAACATGGATGAGATGAAACCAAAACACCTGTATTAAGTCTATGAGTAATTTAATAAATAAATTCCAGTTACGTTTTCTACTGTGACTTTGTTATTTTATGGTTGATGCTACAGCAACCATCGTCAAAATCGCAAAATTATACATTTTATTGGCATGTGGCTGATAGAAGCAAAGACATAAGTGGGTAATATATCAGATAAGTTGCATCTGATGTAGAGCTATGTCATATTCAATCTCCTGAATGGGGCTGGAAAAAACGAAGTATTGAGAGGAACAAATGTGATGAAAATCAGGATGTTGCACGAGTTTGGTCAATACTTAAATGTAGATATATATATATGTGTGAATGAACTGACAAGATTACCGGATACGCATGTCTGACGAGCGGCAAGAACCGTGAAACCGGTCGTGTGCTTCGAGGGAAATTTTGTCCAGTCATTCACATACGGCTTATTATGAAATATTCTACCGAGACCATCAGGTCACGTTTATTGCGGTTAGTAGGCTGTTGCCGAATTACAGAACATCGAATCATAGCATTGATTCTTCATTGGACTGGCTCTGGAGGAGCTGTCTATCCAGTGGTTACCCGGTGTTGCAAACAACGTTATTGTGAGGAAAATACACTTGCTGGGTACAAGTATATGAATGAACTGACAAAATATCGCTGAATACGAATGGCTGACGAGCGGCAAGAACCGCGAAACCGGTCGTTTGTTTCCAGGGAAATTTTGTCCAGTCATTCACATACTATTTATTATGGTATATATATATGATGTTTCTCCGTCAAGACTTGCATCATCTGTGTTCTGCACAATCCCACCTAAACACACTTCAATTTTACTTGACCCCCAAGTAGAAATTTCCCCATCAATTGATTGTGTGTGTGTTGGGTTTTTTCTCTTTTCCCAGTGAACAATTGCTCCACATGTGGTTAGAAACGTTGTGCTCCTCGGTCAAAGTGATCGAGAAATGGTATCATCCCTGGTCGTATTTGCGAAGCCCCGGTTGGGTCCAAATCAAATGCGAGCTACGGTAAGTTTTCTGTTTCGTTCACAGCTTTCTGCCTTCACCAGTAGTGACCAGTGTGCAACAACACATGTCAGGAGTAAAATTCTCATGGTGAATGATAGACGTGTATTTGTATAGTGTTTTTTCCCCGCTTCACAATGACAAGTCCCCTTCTCTTCTTCTGTTTCGGATTGGAGGTATTTCGTTCCAATCGAAGTTGTATCAGCACTGTTGTCCACCCGGGAGTTTTTCTCTTCTATTCTTGCCTCAAGCAGCGCGTTTTGACCAGGCCCGATTAAACTGAGATGATCAAGACACGACCCAGTCACGCGCACAACAAGCTTGCAAAGATGTATTGTGCTATGTTGTGTATAGACAAAATGAAAAACTGCCTGGTTGTCAAACTTGTAGTGCGCTGCCCTGTGTTCAATCTTCAGCTAGTTTGATGGATTATTATTATTACACACTTTTTTGTGATGACCAGCAAATTGGGGAAAGCCCTCTAGTCACGGAGGCCTGCTGTTCCGTGGTGGAATCCGGTGGCCTAAGCCCCAATAGGTTAGGCATTGTATTGGACCGAATGACAACAAAGATGCTCACCACCAAAGTTGAGTGGCGGTGATTGGGCTTGAACCTCGGACCATAGGGTCCAAAGTACGCCTGGGAAAGCGACTAAACCACGATGCCATCACCACTGCTGATGAGACCCGACAAACTCAAAACAGCTACATGGTGCTTCTGAGCTTTTCAGTCCACAATTTCTCGGTTGTGTATTCACCAAAGTGCATCATGTTGTGAATGTTTCCAACCGAGTCAAAACCCTGGAGGCTAGTGCTGAGATGAGCAGGGCCTGTGGCCTGCCACAAGCTCGCAAAGCTGGGTTGTGCTATATCGTGTAAATGGAAAATGAAAAACGGTCTGCTCGATGGCGTAGTGGGTAGCATGCTTGCGTTCTGCCGATGAAGCCCCTGGATTCGCGCTGCTGATGAGACCAACCCAGGTTAAAACAGTACTTCCTAGCTTTCCAGTTCACGCTTCATTTGCTCTATACACGACGAATTCCCATTTGAAATTTAATCAGATCCTCCATTACTCACATAAATTTTAATCATTCACTTCTCATTGGTAACAAGTCAACCTAGATATGCCCTTGTGCTACCGAGTCAATCAACAATCCTGGAGTCTTGAGATGGGATAAACCAGGTTAGACACTAAACCTTTCCCGTTCATGCTCTATAGCCAAAACCCGAAGTCCTTTAATCCGAACCCATAATCCTTTAGCCAAGACCCACAATGCTTTAACCACAACCCGTAGTCCTTTAACCTCGAAGTGAACGATGTTGAAAAAAATTATTTTCTACAAATGTTAATACTGTAAAGCTTGGTTAAGAAATGAGTAGGTGTGAGGGTCGTACGTCAAGCAACATGTTGGCTGGAGAAGGTTTAACCGATGTGCCCGTATCGTCAAACCATTTGGCACATTTCGTACAGCTTCAGTGTTTCCGTATGGCATTCAGGCGTGGTTATCTCCGATAGACTCTAAGCGGGTTCAGAACCATGTTATCTGTGAGATTTGGTCCCTTCACGCAGAAAGACGTACGGAGATTAAGTGTCTTTGACCATCGTTGCCTTCGTTGCATTGCCAGAATACGTTGGCAACAGTAAATCACCAACGACGAGGTTCGCCGAAGAATCTTCACCGCAGACAATCCCAGTCGTCCTCTGAGTGCCGCCATCTCACTCCATCAGACTTCGATGGCTAGGACATGTGTTGCGGATGCCGGCTCAACGATTGCCCCATCGTGTTATGTTTGCGCAAGCAGACACAAACTGGAAGCGGCGACACGGTGAACAGCGAATAACCTGAGCTCGAACAATTAAGGCGCTAACCTCAAAACTGGCAGTGGTAGGGCGCTCTAGACTCCCAGGTTGGGGGCCCAAGGACAGAGAACATCTATGGCTTGATACGCCTGCAGACATGGCTGGTAACCGACGTCAATGGCGCACCTGTTGTGAGAATCTTATTTGTTGATTTACATTTTAGCCGTTTTCACATCTCTTTCTTCATACGTTGTGGCACATCTGCCAATTCTATGTAATTGACTGCTTGTTAAATACATAAAATATATATATCGGTGTACCAGTGTGAATAGGGAAAAATGCATCGGTTTGCCTTCGATTATCTTGTTTACTGTTCGATGCCCGTGGTTCGCAATGATCGCGAAACCCAACCGCATTTGTGTGGTGTTGGTGATGATGATGGTGGTGGTCGTGGTTGTGGTGGTGGTGGTGGTGGTGGTGGCCGGAGGGGGGAGAAGCTATTAGCTCAGTATCACAGACCCAAGCTAATATGTGCTTTTGGTTTACCCACGAGCGATTGGGTAGTAGGACTGAAAGATACGGCTTTGTGCAGTACGTGTTAAATGCCGAGAACGATTGTTCCACTGACACTCATGGAGGAAAATGGTATTTTGGTTTCGGCGATGTGTCGTTTTTTTTCACGATCTGTAAGTTGCAGTGAAACAGTTCAAAGACTGAACCGCCTGAAAACGAGATAAAAGGGGATGTCATTTATTCGATTTTCCGAAACGCTGCTAGTTTAATTGGTTTAGCTTTCTTCGCAATCTACCTGACACATCTAGCTTTTTTCAATGCGAATCAGATAAATCATGTGTAGAAGCGTTGCGTGAACTAGAGATCACGTTGTTTATGCTAGTAACAGTTACTGGTGATTTCTCTCCACCACGGTTGTTTGCTTTGTTTGGAACGTGTCGCATGACAAGCATAAAGCAAACACGCATGCAGACCTCCATGCGACATTTGTCAACAAGTTAATATGCTTGGTGGTCTGTTGGCATGTTACTCAGATGAATCTCTCTTTCTCCCTCTCGTGCGCCTCAATCAAAGCTGTCATGTTCATTTCTCATGTGCCACTACCACTAACTACCACTAGTGCTCAAAAGGCTGCTCAATCTGGTGACGTTGTCTCATGGTTTAGTACACGTTTGATCAACCCACCTGCTTCACCAGCGGTACTTCAGGTTAAACAATCGCCAATGCGGTAACTTCTCTCTCTTTCCTTATGTATATATATATATATATATATATATATATATTTCACCCACGTCAGAGGCCAGACTGTGTGCCAAACAAACCATGAAACAATAATCTTGATGAAAAAGAAAAACGTCCCTTGAATGGCTTGTGGGGTGACTACTGCCACTTTGCCCAGAACAAGGTAGGTGAATTTTCTTGAGGAATCCACAACCGGAGCCATGGGACAACCAAAGCCTGATCCGCAAGGCAAGGGGGCGGTGTGTGAAAACCGCAGTCCATTGGGAGCCGGTGTCCAGTTCACCG